ATTGAAAGAACCATTATTTTCTTGTATTATTTCAAGTTAAAAGGTGGCTTGCTCAAAATTTATTCAAGAAGATATGAAAAATAGTAATGAAAATAAATTGTGTATTATCTACTAAGTGTCATGCTTTGATATCCAAAAAAGTAACCAATTTTAAAGTTTCTCTTTTGTCATTTATCTACTTTCCTTATAATTATTTCTTTTCTTTTAGTCATCAATTTAATTAGATGGCTATTGATGCTTCTTTACCCATACATAAAACATAGCCTCAGTTGTAAATATAATCTTCTGTGATGGAAGTTTTCCTCGTTGCTCTTAGTTGATTGGTCTTCTATCTTTCATCCTTTCACAACCTCAAGCATCCCTTGGCCTTAATCATCTATTCTCCCTCTCTTCTCCTCTTCTAAGTCATTGATCTACCATCATCGAGCAACTTACTCTTTAAGGTCTGCAATTCCATGAAGTCATCAATTTCATCTAGTCTCTCACAACATTGTTGACCCCATCAACCCTCTTTCATTCATTGAAACAAACTTCTTACTAAGAAATAAATAATTATATAATCATGCATAATTGCCCTAATATAATCGTTCCAAAATCAGCCAAATAAATATGGAAGGAGATCGGCATGATCCAAGTGAGCCTCCCACGGATTCCTATCCTGGCAGTGGGATCAAGTGTTAAGGGACGGTAGGAATTTAACAAAGATAGATGTGATCAAGGTGGCCTCCCACGGATTACCATCCTGGCCGTGGGACCAAGTGTCAAGGGATGATTGGATTTAACAGTAGTCTTAGTGTGAAACTCCTTAAGTAAAATAAAGCTAACTCTTAAACATCGAGGCGCTTTTTGGTGTAATGGCTGGCATTTCTGTAAAAAACTTTGCAGTTAAGCGTACTCATCCCAGATCATTTCTGAGATAGGTGACATACTAGGAAGTTACACTAACAGGACAAAACCGTGAGGCTCTTAGGCCAAAGCGGATAATATCTCGATAGTTAAGAGTTTGAGCTATTACAAATGGTATCAAAGCAATACACTAGTCGGAAGATAGGAGCTAAGTGTCATACAAGACAAAGTGCTACTCAATGGGAGTCATCTCTTATACCCTGTATGTGACAAAGTGCTACATGATGGGAGCCACCACTTATACTTATAGGGGCCACCTCTAGAGTCCTATCTGCTTGGTGGATGATTATGGGATACAGATGCTGACGAGGACATTAGTTACTTAAGTGGGGGAGATTGTGAAATCCCTTAAGTAAAAGAAAGCTAACTCTTAAACATTGAGGTGCCTTTTGGGAACCTCCGCAGTTAAGCGTACTCATATTAGAGCAATTCTGGGAAGAGTGACCTACTGGAAAGTTACACCAACATGACAAAATTGTGAGGCTCTTAGGCCAAAGCAGACAATATCTCGATAGTTAAGAGTTTGTGCTATTACACATAGCCCAATTTGTGTAGATTGTTTCTATGACCAGAACTTGAGGCCTCTAGATTATAATAAAAGCAACTTTGTACTACCTAGGTTCAATCTCTCTACTTCCCCCTCTTTTTATATAAGAGAAAAGGTCCAAAATTGTTCCTCGACTCTTTAGGAGAGACCAAAATAGTCCCCGACTATTTTGAGGGACCAATTTGATCCCTCAACTCTTTAAAATATGATCATTTTATTCCTAACATCCAAATTAATGGATGCTGGACTTACTAATATTAAAAAATAGGGGTATTTTAATATTTTTTAACTAAACTATTTATTAGATACACTTTTTGACTAATTCTAATTTTTTTAAAAAAAATTATTAATAGTTTGTTTAATAAGAGAAATTATTAATATTTTTAATTATAATTTTAAAAATTTTAGTCATATATTAATTATTTAACTTAACTAATAATATCATAGGGATATTAACTAGCTTAATTATCTAATTACTATTATAAATATTAATAACTTAAATAATTATATAACTACTATTATTATTTTGATTATTAATTATCTAATTATATAATTAATTTTTAAATTTATTAATTTATATTAATTAAATTACATAAATTAATTCCTAAACGATTTGCTACTCTTTCTTCTCTTTCACGTTATTCATTGTTGTTAGACAAGATAGGGTTTTGAATGAGTCGTTAAAGCCTTTCTTCGCCTCTTTCGACGACGTTCCTTCCCGTCGAATTGGAATTTGCAAAAGTTTGCCGACATAGCAATAGGAGGGTTTTGAACGAGTCACTTACGCCCCCTTCGAAGAATTATCATTAAACTTTCATTGAGATTTTCATATCATTAACATCAAAAGCACCCATTCCTCGTGAAAAAAAAATGTTAAAACTAGCAACACACAATTTTAACAATTTTTAAAATCATTAAATCATCAATTGTTTCCAAATGCATGTCTTTGTTTACTTGAGAATAAACTTTTTATTTTCAATGTGTAGAGTTTTTAAAATGGCCTGAAAAAATAAATAAGAGTTGTTGATAATTTTTTAAAAGTATTTAAAGGTTTTGATGGTAAAATATGTAGGAAAAACTAAATAAGTGGGCTCCTATATGTTGCCAGATCATCCTTAACTTTTCACATGCTTCATGAGTAGATAAATTACCAAGAAACTGCCGCTCAATATATAAGTACTTTTTATGTGGTAAGCACAAAAAATAAATTTAAAGAAGAATAATGATTTCCTTAAAATAAAAATCCAAATCTCTCTCAATATACACATATAGAAAGAAATGAATTTCTCCTCCTAATTTTATTATTTTATCTACTGCATTACACAATCTCCAAACTCAATATTATCCTACAGATTGTGATCTACAGCATGAATATCATTTGTGAATCAAGTTTAATTAATTTTGATAATCATTTAAGCATTCATTCAGCATGTGGAAATGAGCATGATTGCACAACATATAAAGGCCATCTTAAAAGTCAAGTTTTAACCATGTATTTCACCAATTAAAACCGCCTAATATTTAAGTATCAGCACGAGCTCATGTATTTAATCCCAACCATTTTGAAGTCTCTACATTTCAAAAAGCACATTTTTCTTCTCAAATAATTGTAGTCATCCATTGAGAATATTCTGATCCACTCTATTGATGATCAAACAATCTTTAAAAGTCTTGAAAACTTTTGTGCCGCTAGTTTTCAAGATGTTAAAGAGAATGAACGATTTTGATTTTGCATTTGAAAGTCATAAAATCAAAATCTAATTGGATAAAAAAATAAGATTCTCCACCTAGGTGGAAAAAATTCCATTCCATTCCATTCCATCATGGAAGTAGTAGCATGCATTAGATAAAGAACTTCTGAGATTATTTGATGATCAGTAAAACATCAAATTTTCACAATCGTTGGAGAAGACAAATGCAATTTTAAATTGTTGAGATTTTTAAATAGCTGAATCAAATACATGCAATAATGATAATATCTTGCATGTATTGGACAATTTTAACAGATAAAATGCATGGCTTCTATATGTTATCTCGATCATTCATGTATTTTCACATACTTGATGAATAGTTAAATTATTTTGTAAATTGATGAAACACAATCCAAATGTAATTTTTATGTTTTAGATCTCATCAATAATGTGATCACAAGTTTGAAGATTATAAAAAGTGGTAGATACAAAATTTACACTGAAATGAAAATATTTATTCTCCTTCTAGGATTACAAAATTACCTACACACTACACACCCTCGTTTGCCTCATGCCAATTATTTGGAGTTGGCATTATGAATATTTTTGTCCATCCACATATGTTGGGTGTTGCATGTGAAGTTGAGTTTGTAGAAACTTCTAGCTAATAGCTTCTAGAGAAGTTACCTAAAGTCTTTTCGTATCAATTATATAATAACTTATTAGCGTATTTATAACCTTCTTCATAACACCAAAAGAACCTAAGTCAAGCTTCAGCAATTACATGCTTAATATGTGTTATTCCAACAGCTTAAAAAAAAATCATTTTGTAGGGCATCCGTCTAAGATTTATCATAAATACATCTTAAATTCTTATTTCTACCACTCTAGACTTAGTTCTTACCACATTTTTGGTTTTTCAAAGCTTAAATTCAAACGAAAAAGCTAATCTTCTCCTCATGGGAGAACAATTACAATACTTAAATATGTATGTTGTGTATTTAGCTTTTTTAATACAAAGTCACAACATAGATCATTGAAGCTTGGATTATGTCAAGGGTTATGTGATCATATCCCAAAGAGTTGGGGGGTTCTCTGCCTTCTAGACCAAGTTAATGATGATATAAATGCCAACCGGGTCCTAAAACTTGAAACCTATGTTTCCACTAATTTTTATCCTTGACTTCCATCAAGATTTTCATAAACAAATTTCATTGATGCAATAAGTCTCAAGATTACAGCCACATTTTTGTACTCATAAACATCAAAGCTAGCGATTACAATTTTCCTTCAACCTTAATTAAATTAAGGTTTCATTAAATTGTTAGAGTTCAAGTACTGCCAAACAGAAATACTAGGTCAAACTAGCCAACTTAGACCATTAACAGCAGTACTTAAGTAAACTTCAATTGTAAATAATCAAACACTACATATTTTTTTGTGTCCAATTCCTTATCACAACAACAATCGCAATCTGAAATAGAATTTAACACATTAAAAAAAAGAACAAAAGGTAAAACCATTGGAACAAAGATCAAGCAAGCATTGCCTGGAAATAACACCAGCATTAAACACTTAAAGAGCTTTAAAACAGTGAGTATTAGAAATTTCAGCAAGGTATATACCTCATTAAGAACAATAAAGCGGAAAATAGTTTCAGGAATGAATAGAAGAGGATAATTAAAGCCAACCCAAATTAATTGGAATAATTCTAATGTTGATGAAGATGATTACTTTAGTAAATAGTTCCATTTGAAATAAGAGTAGGAATACACAATTTGAGTATGTGCACTCAAAGCTAAAAGCATATAGCAAAACAATAATGAGCAAATAAGTAAAAAATCATCAAAAGTTACCGTGAAATGAGGACGGAATAATGAGTGAGGATCAATCAACAGCAATCTAACATATGTCTCCACCATAGCAATGCTAGGAATGACCTGTATGGTAATGCAGAATAATGTCTTACTGCTCCAATGGGTAATTTTCCAAACATGAAATTGTATGTTCATAAGATAAGTTCGTCAAAATATCTTCAAATTCCCACCATTATAAGAATAATCCAGAAGAACAAAACAATAATGCAAACAACATTTTGTTTATCGGAGTGTCATTGCACTAGTTATTTTATCATTCTTCTGCATTGGTTGTATCAAGAAGTTCCCATTCTGACAAACCATTAATCTTTCCTATTCAATGGTAGCATCATAAATTCTAACACAAATTGGGTATGAAAAATCTACGGCTCCTCTCAAAATCTCTATCTTGGGCTGGATCATATATCAGAGGAAGATACTCAACAAAATTCTTTCTTATAAAATGGGTGTTGTCACTACTGTTAATTTCAGTGTGCGCAAAGTTCAACTTGAACAAAATTACAATGCTTTCTTCAGCTATCCAATCATTTCTAGCCTTTAGGATAGACTCTACAACACTTTTGGACTAATTAATACCATTAGCTGCATCAGAAAAGGTTTTCCCTCTTGGAGAAGCACAGTTATCAAAGGGAAATCTGATATTCTGATTGAATGGTAAAAATCCTAAATGCTTTAAATAAAACTAGAAATGTGAAGTTCTTTTGGTATAACATTATTTATTTAGCATAGTTCTGGTGCAAGGATTTATAAGGGAAGAAGGCATAAAAAATCAACAAACTGATTGAGGAATTCAACTTCCCTAACACTCCCAAGGAATTATTTATAAGATTTATCTAACTTTTGTATTTTTCTTAGGATTTATCTCTTTGCTTCGATCATATGATGCTTTCTTCTTTTTTGTAATTAACCTTATTTGTATCTCTTGATCATCTTCTTTTCCTTTGAAGACGAGGGTTCCTGTACCCAGTTTTTACAATAAAAAAGGCACTCTGTTTATGGTAACAATATAACTTAACATATTTAAGAATTTGAGTATCCTATGTCGTAAAAGCTAAAACATACTACAACTACTACATTCATTTCTGTTTTATTCCTGCGAACTGATAGGAAACACTTGTAGATCTCAAGTATTTCCTATCGATCTTAGGAAAACAGCGAGAATTCTCCATAAAAATCCACACAAAACCAGAAAAACAATATAAATTTATATTATTCGATGAAATAGAAATGGAAAATAGCAAGATACAATTGATCCTCTATTCGAGAGGAGGATCCTTCAAACCCAGGAAAACAATATAAATTCATATTATTTGATGAAATAGAAACGGAAAATAGCAAGATACAATTGATCCTCTATTCGAGAGGAGGATCGTTCTCTCCCAATCTCTAGACGCCGCTAGAGCCCAAAAGAAATCAAAGTGATATCAAATTTTAGCCAAATTCAAGATGCCCTAACCCTAGGAAAACAAACTATTTAATGCATACAAATCAAAAGGAAATCCCTAAAAATACCCTACATTCAATTTCCCTCCTAAACTTCCTTCAAAATCCTTCCTAAATGGCTCTGTAGAGAGCGGGCGATCGAATCCAATGTATCGGAGGCGGACGAGTTCCGCCTCATGTCTCCGTGAGTCGGTCCCGTATGGACCGGCTAGACCGGTCTAACAATACTCCCCTCCCAAAGATCCACCTTGTCCTCAAGGAGGAGATATGCTCGTGTTCCCGTGGAGGTGGTCATCCTTGAGGTGGCTGAAAAACCTTATCAAATTGTTGAATCAAGGGCTGCACTGAAAGAAAAACATCTCCTCCCTCATCTATCTTGATCACATCCAGCTTATGTAGTCCCACCAGATAATCTTCCCCCACCTCTTTTATGTTCCTAACCATGGTATTAAGTGATACCATGGCTTTAGATAGCCCTGCATCTCCCCTTATAACCACCTTTCTCCCATCCACCATTAATTCCATCATGAGTGCTCCCCAATTGTCCTTCGTTTCTTCCAATATTTGCAACCACTTCATCCTCAGGATGACATCAGTACTTCCTAACACTAGTGGGAGAAAATCCTCCCTTACTTGAATCCCCTGGATGGTTAACATCACTCCTCTACAGATCCCCTGGCCTTTCTCCACTTTCCCTGTACCCATCATCACCCCATAATAACGGATGTCAACTAATTTCACCCCCAATTGGTTGACGACCTGAGTGGAAATGAAATTATGGGTAGCCCCACTGTCAATCAATACTACCACCTCCATGCATGTTATTTCCCCCTTCACCTTCATCATATGATTCAAAGTGAATCCTACTACTCAATTCAGGGAGACCTTTGCCACATCAAGATGCAGCTTGTCATCCATCTCTCTCTCACCTCCCTCCTCAGATTCATCATCATCACGAACGATGAGAACTTGAAGAATTTGATCCCTTACACATGTGCCATGGAATATACTTCTCATCACACCGGAAACATAACCCCTTTGCCCTCTTCTCCTGTATCTCATTCTCTGTCAGCCTCTTGAAATTTTCTCCACTCTCCTCCTACTGGCTTCTCCCTGGTGGTCTCATGAAATCCTCCTGATGCCGGACCCTTGGGTGTTAAATGAGTAATCGTCATCCTATAAGTGCCCCCTGAGATGCTACTCATGGCTCCCCTCTCAGGAAAATTATTCTGTGTGGAATCCGATCACAACGATGTGTTCGGTCTGTAACAGTAGCCAATAAAAACATAACGCGCGGCGTGCTTACGTGGAAAGTTAAGGTCCGACTCGTTTGTATTTTCGAGAGTAAATAATACGAGGCCCGCCCAGTATATACAATGAAAAAGGCGGAAAATTTTAACATATTCCAAATTCGACATTTCGGCCATTCGCACCATTTCTCCCGAGCTTCCAGCAAAAAACTCTCGCTGAGGATTCACCTGCAAAGAGAAAGGTGCGAAAATTCTTACATTGACATAAAATGAACTACAGATATCTTTGGTATTCAACGCGTATTTGCTGAAGAAACCAAAAAAAATAAATTTAAATCATTCCTAGTAACTATAAAAGTTTAAGTTTATCTCACCATTTTCGTTCTTTCTGCGTATTTTCTTTGTACCCAATGTGTATAATCTGCGTAAATTTCACTTATTTTCTGCGTATATGTTGAAGACAAAACCTAACTTTTTAAAATAAGTACTTTTGATCTTTAAATCATAAAACTAAACTTCCAATAAACAAGAACGATTAGTGTATCCTAAACCATAGATTTCTGGTGATATTTTTCGCATCCTTTGCGTATATTGCGTATGGTATGCGTACCTATCGCGTATGGTATGCGTACACAACGCGTATGGTATGCGTACCCGTTGCGTATGGTATACATACACATTGCGTATAATATGCATATTTTTTGTTGCGTTTTATATGCGTACTTATAATATGCTTCTCTAAATTAATTATAGTTTCTTATTCTACGCAGATTTACGTCCGTACCATATCATATAGATGCTATGTTTCGACTTTCAGAACAATGTGTGATACATTTTCAGATATAATTCCTGTTGAAATTGAAGAAAAATTGAAGGAACTTAATATTTACCAATTTTTTCAATTTCCTGAATTTGAGCAAAACGCCCCACTTATGTACCAGCTGCTGACAATGTGAAACATTGAAAAGCAAAGTTTCATTATAGAGGGCCATGTTGTCCCTTTCACAGCTGATGAAGTGGCCCTCCTGACTGGACTACCAAACAGAGGTGAGGAGATTACTTGGATGACCTTTCCGTCTTCAACAATCAACTCAAAGGATATTAAGACTGAATTGTTTGAGTTGACTAGTGAAAGCTCCCCAGATACCATGTTGAAAACATTTATTATGTATTTGTGTTCTAATTTATTTTTCCAACAAACCAACTTTAAAGTTCCTATGATGCTTAAGACAATAGCAAATAATGTTGATGATTTTTCATCAATTAACTGGACATGGGCAATTTGGGAATGCCTGGTTGAAGATTTTAATAATGTATCTATGAAGATCTCAAAAAACAGGCCAGCGGGTTATGTCAATGGATTTGTGCCACTGCTTATTGTGAGTGCTAAAATAATTCTTATTAAACATTTTAATTGACTAATTGTTTTGCTAAAACTAACTGAGAATATCTAAATTTTATGCAGGTTTGATTCCTGGAGCACACTTCCATTCATCTCCCAAAGTATCCTGAAAGAAGGCCCTGTTTCCTTCGATGGTCTGATGATATTGTATATAACACTGAGAAGACTGCCAAATTATTTGTTAATTAAAGAGAAGACAGGTATTTATTGTGAAAATATTTATATATTGCTTACATATTGCGTACGGATTGCGTATACTATGCATATTTCTTGCGTACGTTGTGCGTACGGTATGCGTATATAATACGTATATATTGCGTATATGATTACGTATAAATTGCGTATTTATTTGAGAATAATTTTTCGCAGATTTTTGTTGACATCCAAGGAGTAACCCCTGAAGAATGTGATCTCTTGGGTGTAAAGAAATATCCATCAACCCCTCTTTCACCCATTCAAACTAACACACCTGAACATCATCTCCCCCCACAATCTCCTCTGCAGCCCAAATCCGCCTTGAAAACCCAACCCCAATCCTTAGATGAACTTGAAAAAAAATTAATAGGGATTGTGCAGGAGTCAATGGTCAACCTCTTCCAGGAATTTGAAGCTAGAATGAGGAAGAATTTTGAACAAATTGTGAGGAGAGTTGATCTTATTGATGAGAAGCTCCAACATTGCATTGTCCAAGGAACTATTAAGCATGATCAGCAAGATGCTCCCTCCTCCTCATCATTCATTCCCCATACAATTCCATCCCCAAACAATATTCGGATATCATCTGATCACACCAAGACCGACGTCCCAGAAAAAATGAATGATGTTGAGATGACCCAGGGTGCTGAAAGGGTTAGCAAAAAGAAGAAATTAGAGAGAAAATCAAGCCAAAAAAAGAAGAAGCATAAAAGGGTACACCACATCCCTGAAGTAACTGCACAAGAAGTAACTACCAAAGAACCTCCCAAAGA